ACACCAGTAATCAGGGGATGAGAGACAGGAGGGCAACACAGCTGGGAGGAATCTGGGCTGACGGGACAGGGGAAACGTAAACTGATCACACTCACGTACGACACGGACCTTCACAATAAAACAGGAAACTCAGACACATGGAACCAGACAAGACATTGAACTAAACAGACAGCTTCACAAACAGATGGGGTGACACCATAGACAGACAGATACAGACGCAGACTCAGAGGCAGACCGAATATAACACAGAACTTAAACAATCATCATCTAGAAAATGATAACAAACTAAAAGCGCTGGGTCACCGACCCAGGACCATGACCCAAGTTTCCTTCTTGTGCTTCCTCTTTGAGAAACCTATGAATAAATGCAGGAGTGTTACTCTATTGTCTTGCTATTGTATAGGAAGACACACACACATACAGACCCACACACATATTTTTGCTACTGTCACGGCTGGCGGAGTGAGCCGTGTGGAGTGGAGGAAAAGGAGGACCCAAAATGCAGCAAACTGATGATACGAGTGAAGTTTATTTACACGGTGGCAGTGGCAAAAACAGGCAATGAAGCATGAGTAATGACAAACCTAAACTGGGAGAAACTAAAGAGCAAACCTGAAATCTACAAAACGGAGAGCGGAGCAGAGAGACGCAGACTAAGGAACAGGATACCAAGAAACACAGACGAGCCGACAACGAACACAGACCGACACCCACTAAATATACACACACAAGGTAATCAGGTAATCACACACAGCAGGGAAGAACAGCTGAACGTAATACACATGAGGACTGGAGGAGACAAGCTGAACACAATGACAACAGAAACAGACTTTCAGAACAAAACAGGAAATCTATAACACGAGCCTTCAAAGTAAAGCAGGAAACACAGACTGATTTGCAACACAACACAACACGGAGACATGAACAGAGCACCAAGGACAGACACAGGTAGGGCTGAATATACATCAACTTCAGGTTCAACCCCAAACTAATACAAATCAGAATAAACACAAAACCCTGGGTCAACGACCCAGGACCATGACAGTACCCCCCCTCCAAGGGCTGGCTCCAGACAGCCCACAACAAAAACAGACGACCAACCCAGGGCAGGCGGCGGGGGCCCAGGACGGAGGGACCAACACCGAACAAAACAAGCTCCAGCGAACCAAGGGAATTGTCCAAAACAAAAACACACATGCCGGAGTACGAGAACAAAACACAGTTCAGGAGGCCGGCCTGGAGGCTGACAACTCAGAAGTCCAGGACAGTTCATCTTCTGAGGCTGGCCACGTCGGCGACGCAGATCCATAAGCCGACCGAGCGGAAGGCAGCGGTGGCGGAGTGGAGGCAGTTCAGGGGGCCGACCGTGCACACGGCAGCGGCGGCGACAGGGAAACCGTTCAGGTGGCCGACCGTGCGGACAGCAACGGCGGCGTCTAGGAGGTCGTCCATATCGACGATGACGCTCCACCAGCGGCCCGACAGACGACTGCTGATGTCGAGGCGGCAGTCCGGGACCCGATGGCAGCGTGGCCTTCGTAGCACCAGACGAGACCGAAGCAGAGGCTGGACCAGGTGAAGCTGGACCAGACGAGGCTAAAGACGCTGAAGCTGGACCAGACGAGGCTGAAGACGCTGAAGCTGGACCAGGCGACGCTGATGAGGATGATGAGGATGCGGAGGCTGGACCAGGCGACGCTGATGAGGATGATGAGGATGCTGAGGCTGGACCAGGCGAGGCTGAAGCAGAAGCAGAAGCTGGACCAGGCGAGGCTGAAGCAGAAGCTGAGGCTGGACCAGGCGAAGCAGCTGATGAGGAGGCTGGAGCAGAAGCAGAGGCCGGACCAGGCGAAGCTGAAGCAGAAGCCGGACCAGGCGATGCTGATGAGGGTGCTGGAGCCGGACCAGGCGATGCTGATGAGGGTGCTGGAGCCGGACCAGGCGACGCTGAAGACACGGAGGCTGGAGCCGGACCAGGCGACGCTGAAGACACGGAGGCTGGAGCCGGACCAGATGAGGATGAAGCAGTGGCTGGACCAGACGAGGATGAAGCAGTGGCTGGACCAGACGAGGATGAAGCAGTGGCTGGACCAGGCGAAGCGGATGAAGCCAAAGCAGACGCTGGACCAGGCGAGGAGGATGCTGAAGCAGATGCCGGACCAGGCGAAGCTGATGACACTGATGAGGAGGTAGGATCAAGCGGAGCTGATGAAGCTGAAGCTGGACCAGGCGAGGCAGCAGCTGATGAGGATGCTGAAGCTGGACCAGGCGAAGCAGCAGCTGATGAGGATGCCACTGCAGGTGATGCGGGAGCTGGACCAGACGAGGATGATGAGACTGCAGCTGGTGATGAGACTGCAGCTGGTGATGAGACCGCAGCTGGTGATGAGACCGCAGCTGGTGGCTGGACGGGCTCCTCGGGCCCCCCAGCTGACGAGGCAGAAGGCTGGACGGGCTCCTCGGGCCCCCCAGCTGACGAGGCAGAAGGCTGGACGGGCTCCTCGGGCCTCCCAGCTGACGAGGCAGATGGCTGGACGGGCTCCTCGGGCCCCCCAGCAAAAACAGTCTCAGAACCAGTGGGCACTGGAGCCCCTGGCACACACAGAACAGAACCAGCAGGTGCGGAGACCTCTGGCAGGAACGCAACAGAACCAGCAGGCACACGGGCCTCTGGCAGGAACGCAAGAGAACCAGCAGGCACACGGGCCTCTGGTAGGAACGCAACAGAACCAGCAGGCACACGGGCCTCTGGCAGGGACAGAACAGAACCAGCAGGCACACGGGCCTCTGGCAGGGACAGAACAGGACCAGCAGGCACACGGGCCTCTGGCAGGAACGGGTCGGAACCAGCAGGTGCACGGGCCTCTGGCGAACACAAAGCGGACTGCGGCTGCACAGAGCAGTGACTCAGCTCAGGCAGCGACAGCCGAATGCAGTCCTCAGCTGGCTTCTTAACCTCCAGGGGTCCAGAGTCGGCTGGGGGCTGGAATCCAGCCTCTGGGGAGGCCCTGGAGTGCGTCACAGTCTCTGGGCTGGCCAGCTGTTGCGGACTGACTACTACAGTATGTGGTGTGTCTCTCTGCTTGACATGAACAGGTGAAAAATAGTTCTTTCCGGGTTGGATGGACTTAACTTGTTGTGCAGGAGGAGTTGGTGAAGATGATGGCTGAATAGGTGATAACAAGGCTGATGAGTCTCTTGCCAACTGAGCTATTGACTGAGCTATGGATTGTAACCAAGTGTCTAATAGGTCTGGCTGTGACTGTAATGGGGGTGACGGTTGAGTGGCTAACTGAGGTAGCGGCTGCAGGGCAGCTAACTGAGCTACCGGCTGGGCAGCTGGCCCAACAAACACAGCCCCGGAATAAACAGTCACACGAGCTGTCACAACAGACGGAGTGTCTTTTTCACTCCCCACAGCCGGCAGTTCCGAAGTCCGAATCGCCGGCTGTGGGGCGACGTGCCGACGGCGCGATCGTCGCTTCCTCCGGCGACCTCCGGGCCGGGCGAAACCTCCGGCGGGCCGGGCGAAACCTCCGGCGGGCCGGGCGAAACCTCCGGCGGGCCGGGAAAAATCTTCACCGCCGGGCTGGGTTGGGAAGCGGTAGCGGCTGGAGGGTGGAGGTGCAGTTCGTTGAGTATGAAGTCCTGTGCGAGCGGGTGAAGAGAGTCCAGCAGCCAGGAGTGAGCAGAGATGAGCTGCTGTAGCCTGGCTTCTACAGCGTGGTGAAGCTCTTCCTCCTCATGCTCGAGCCACAGGTTGACCAACCTGGAAACTGTGTCGATCACTTCCTCCCAAAACTCCTGGGACGGCGCGGATGCTGCTGGGTCCATGTTGGTCGGCTCGTACTGTCACGGCTGGCGGAGTGAGCCGTGTGGAGTGGAGGAAAAGGAGGACCCAAAATGCAGCAAACTGATGATACGAGTGAAGTTTATTTACACGGTGGCAGTGGCAAAAACAGGCAATGAAGCATGAGTAATGACAAACCTAAACTGGGAGAAACTAAAGAGCAAACCTGAAATCTACAAAACGGAGAGCGGAGCAGAGAGACGCAGACTAAGGAACAGGATACCAAGAAACACAGACGAGCCGACAACGAACACAGACCGACACCCACTAAATATACACACAAGGTAATCAGGTAATCACACACAGCAGGGAAGAACAGCTGAACGTAATACACATGAGGACTGGAGGAGACAAGCTGAACACAATGACAACAGAAACAGACTTTCAGAACAAAACAGGAAATCTATAACACGAGCCTTCAAAGTAAAGCAGGAAACACAGACTGATTTGCAACACAACACGGAGACATGAACAGAGCACCAAGGACAGACACAGGTAGGGCTGAATATACATCAACTTCAGGTTCAACCCCAAACTAATACAAATCAGAATAAACACAAAACCCTGGGTCAACGACCCAGGACCATGACAGCTTCTCCTTTTTCTTACACAAACAATATTGACATTACCTATATGCTGAGCATTCCAGTCTTTCGTGTTTACTGTTGCACCACAAGACCTGTAAATTTCACATAGCCATCTAGTCAAACTAGCTTCACTGTCACACTGTCAGGGGAACAACTGACGCCTGACTCAAAACAAAAAAAAAGCTGTTGGCTACAATGAAAACTGGTTATGCTGGAAACTACCTTTATCTACCTAAATGTTTTGAGAGAGAAATATCTGCTTATTTGTACTGCTATTCTTGGTGCATGCACATACTACATACTGCTACACAAGGACCAAAATCCACAAATTATCTAAAAATACAAGAAAAGGTAAATGACATATTATTCAGACTTTGGTTTTGTTGTTTGGGTTTTTTCTGTCGGTAAAGCATGGAGCTGTGTGGATGTATCAGAACAGTTGGTTGAGCTTTTTTTCTGCTGTTTTTAACCTTGCTCAGTGGTTCCGCCTCCTTATCGTACCTCATCGTAACACTATATTGTCCTCTGTGACACCAGTTACCTGAAAAGAAGAACACCGCACCTTTCATAGTGTGCAAACTTTTCAACAATTATATTCAAGTTGTTCAAGTTTTTCAAGAACGGCTTTTCGTCACTCGCTCATCACTTTTTCTTATTGTGGCTCCATAAACAGCAGGGAGAAGAGGTAGGAAATGAGCTATTTTCTATACTTTTGTCATACTACAAGAATAAAAACCCAATATCTTTGAAATTACATAAATAAGTTATGTAATTTAAAATTTTCCGATACTTTCTGATTCTGGCGCTGTAGGTTTTCATTAGTTTTGTTTAAGCAATGTATTTAAGAAGGTAATAAATGTGACAAGTATTTTTGACTTTATCTTCAATTTTTCAAATCTTGAGAGGAAAAATATAGGAAATCTGTGTGTAGAGACTGAACCTTTAGAAAGACATTTTTGTACTCCTTTTAAGGGTTCTTTTTTGTACTTTATACTAAGGGTACAACTTTGCCCTTTAAAGTACAGGTTTGACGTGTAAAAGGTACAAATTACAAGGGTACAAATCAGTACCCACAGTTTAGGGTACAGAACGGTACCTTAGAGGGTACCACCCCAGTGACAAGACATTGTACCCCTATAGGTACATTTCTGTACTTTAATTTCTGAGTGTGCATGCTGAGTATTCCAGTCTTTTGTGTTTACTGTTGCACCACAAGACCTGTAAATTTCACATAGCCATCTAGTCAAACTAGCTTTACTGTCACACTGTCAGGGGAACAACTGACGCCTGACTCAAAAAAAAGCTGTTGGCTACAATGAAAACTGGTTAGTTTGTCTTTGAAGTAAATAGTCCTTTACCACAAAAAGGGAAAGAAGCCCATACTTTTATATTTATATATTTTATTAGGTACACCTGCTGGACAGCTATTTAACCCATGTGTTCAGGCTTTTAGGCAGGTAAACATGGTCAAAACAAGCTTCAGAAAATGCTGATTGACCAACTCTACACATAAAACGTTGTATCACTGAGGCAAGCAAGAGATAGTGGCTCTCCCTTGAGGTTTCACCTTAAAACTAAATTTCTGGATCGTTATGTCATATGAATAATCTTACTCCAGGTAACTGCACTCTGTCTTTAAATATGCAGCCAATGAAAGTCTTCTTTTTTTTTTACCTTAATATCATGGTGTGTTTTAAATGTTTTGGGTCAAGGCACACATTTTTTTTCTGAGCACAGAAAAAAGTAAAACTGTAAATAGTTTTTGTTGTGTGTAAATTATTTTGATCATTATTGTTTCCCTCATCTGTGGAGACTTGGAGTATTTTATATATTTCTTAGAGTATTTTTAAAAAGATGTCAGAGGGTTAAAGCCTGTGGGTCTCCATATGTTTTCTTATGAGTGCATACAGAAACGTATTAACAAGAACAAAAAAAGGTACACCTCTTTAGCAAATACTTGTTTTTTCAGTCACTGAAGATATAGGATTACATTGTAATCTCCTATTTAAAACTGCCTTACAGGTGTGTGTGTGTGTGTGTGTGTGTGTGTGTGTGTGTGTGTGTGCACGCGTGTGTCCTCTAACCACATATAAGAGGTTGAAAAACCAACCAGTTTCCCTCGTAAAAAGCATAATAAAATTAAGAACTCTTAAACAGGTCTGGGTTGAGCGTCGTGTAAAACTTGGTAAGACTGGCACATACCTAACTTGCAGTGAGACTACCTGTGCCAAGGTGACTCATGCAAAATAAATGATACATTGATGACACTGCTGTGAATACTCATACTCACAAATGCTTTAAACAAGTTTTTAAGCTCTACTGTTCTATTGTTTAACAGTTTATCTGTTTTTAAGCAATGTTTGTAGCAATATTAAGATGTGAAAGCAGTATTATGTTTACATAACAGTTAAATAATAATAAAAAAACATTAATGTTACTAAAATCAATGGTAAATTAAGTATTCTGATCTCAACATTTTTCCAAAATAATCATTTTGATCCTACTTGTGCAGACCTAGTTTGCAATGATAAAAACAACATTCTTTTAGTTCAAATTATTGCAGTTATTTATTTTCTTAAAATTGCAGTCTGTCTGAACACAGGCAGATGGCGCTAATTCTGACATACTGCCTGGACTAATGGACTAATCTCTTCCAATCCCATGAGCCCCTTGGCAGCCAAAAGGACTTATAGTATTGAAAGATACAGGCAATAAACTGTCAAAATGTGTTTTCCAGTGTTTCTGGGTTTTTTTTTCATGTGTAATATATCTGTTTATATTGGTAAACCGATTGTAGATAATAGACTTTACAAAAGGCTTACATATAAAATAAAGAAATAACTTGTGTCGCAAGTATCTTTATGATTCCATGATCCATCCATCCATCCATCCATCTTCATCCGCTTTGTCCGGGGCCGGGTCGCGGGGGCAGCAGCCTAAGCAAAGAGGCCCAGACCTCCCTCTCCCCAGCCACCTCCTCCAGCTTGTCCGGGGGAATACCAAGGCGTTCCCAGGCCAGCCGAGAGATGTAATCTCTCCAGCGTGTCCTGGGTCTGCCCCGGGGCCTCCTCCCGGTGGGACATGCCTGGAACACCTCACCCAGGAGGCGCTCAGGGGGCATCCTTGTCAGATGCCCAAACCACCTCAGCTGGCTCCTTTCGATGTGGAGCAGCAGCTGCTCTACTCTGAGCCCCTCCCGGATGGCCGAACTTCTCACCCTATCTCTAAGGGAGAGGCCAGCCACCCTTCGGAGGAAGCTCATTTCTGCCGCTTGTATCCGCGATCTCGTTCTTTCGGTCACTACCCACAGCTCGTGGCCATAGGTGAGGGTAGGGACGTAGATCGACCGGTAAATTGAGAGCTTCGCTTTTACACTCAGCTCCCTCTTCAAGGTTCAAGGTTCAAGGTTCTTTATTTGTCACATGCATAGTTATACAAGTATAACACACAGTGAAATGTAGCCTGACACGCTCCTCGACATGTGCAAAAATTGGGGGGGGGGGGGGGGGGGGGGGGGTGTAGAGGAAGAACATTATATATATATATATTAGGGGTGCAACGATACACAAAATTCACGGTTCGGTTCGGTTCGATACTTTGGTGTCACGGTTCAATGTTTTTTCGATACAAAAAAAATGTTCATGCCTTTTTAATTTGTCATTTATTAAAATTATAAATATATATTTTAACTCAAAAGTACAGTTTTTAAATTTAACCCTAACCCTTGTGCGCGTTTTTTATTTTGACAGCTAATGCGCACCTGCGGACCACTTATGTGCAGCCCTGGTTATTTAGCTCGTCATATTGCAGCCACAGAAATTATTTTGTCCATGAAACCATAAAGCTGCACTTTCTTTTTGCCTTATAGTCTCATTTGTCATAACTTCTCCGTTTTATGGTAAGCTTTTCTTTGGCTGTCACTTCTTCACCCTGACCTGTCTTATTTGGCTCAGCAGAACTAAAATATATATCCTGCTGCTTTTACACACCGACTCACATAAGCTCAGCGATTCTCTGTGCGATCAACCTCTCACATGTTTAAGCTTGCTGCGGAGATTTCACTTGTCATGTTTGCATAGTAAGCTAACGATTAATAAGACGATGTCAGAGGAATTGGTGCACAAATTATCATCACTCACAGATCAGTGCTGTCGCTCTCTATACACAGTTGCACGATTATAAAGTGAAAGCAAAAAAACAAGCGCAAATTCAAACGCGATTTCAATATGTCACATATTGACAGTGGCTCACCGATGCCAATGACATAATTACCCAGCTACATTTCTGAAAGAATGCAAAAGCATTGACATATATTTTTCCTTCCTACAATAGCCCGACGGGCAGGGTAGCCCGTCTGAAAAAAATCGCTAGCCTCAGGACGTCGGGCTAGCGATATTGCGCGCCCTGTATCTGATTGAGGAATCACTCATCTTTGGAAAAGAGAGTTTATTACAGAGAAATGTCTCTTTCCAAAATAAAAGCTATACTATCCGCTTCTTCTGGGCTATATTCTCAGCAGCATAAGGAGAATCATGTGCTAACAGCTGTCTAAATGACTCGGCTAAAGTTAGTAGCATGCTTGTTGTTTTTGTCTTTGCACTAGGATGATGTCGGCGTAAATGTGCAGTCATATTCGTTGTGTTCCCACTAGTGCTTTCAGGTTAATCTCGTTGAAATGACCTTAACGCCACAACACGGCCAACACGTTAACGAGCTAACTGCGCTAACACACTAGTTCCCACCCATGTAATTGAGCATTGCATGGCACATCCAACATACTGTTTTACTTTAGTCCATGACTCGCTTACCTTCAGGGTCATACGTCACATGAAAACCAAAATAATTCCAAACGCCAGATCTGAATGAGAGTGGGGGAGGTCCATGTTGCAAGGAGAGCTTAACTTCTGTCTTGCTAGCTTGCCCTGCGCTCTTCCTTCTGACGATGCTGTCTGTGTTGAGCACTCAGTGGATCTGCGCTCGACAGTGCAGCCTAGGCGGAGTAGTCGAACGCAGATTCACTGAGCGCTCAACACAGACAGCATCGTCAGAAGGAAAGTTGATAAAATAAATTACAAATGTTGTATTGTTCGATACATATGCGTACCGAACCGAAAGCACTGTATCGAACGGTTCAATATCGATACGAATATCGTTGCACCCCTAATATATATATATATATATATATATATATATATATATATATATATATAGTATATACACTGGGTGAATGTGCAGTAGTAGCAGCAAGCAGGTGAATTCTGTACATTAATATGAATAGACATCTGACTATTTTACAGGATAGACAATATAAACATATTTAAAATTAAAGGAATTGAAATGTACATTGTGCCTTGGTTTAGAGTGTCTGGAAGAGAGTCCTGTCTCAGTCAATTATAGATGATGTGAGAGGGCGGGTGTGTGTGTTTAGGGCACGGATGGCTTGGGGATAGAAGCTCCTCTTGAGTCTCTCTGTCCTTGCCCGGAAGATGCGGAACCTTCTACCAGATTGCAGAAGTTGGAACAGTTTGTTGCCTGGATGGGACGGGTCCTTCAGTATCTGCGCTGCTCTAGTCCGGCATCTCCTGGTGTAGGTGTCCTGAAGCGGGGGGAGAGCAATCACGACGGACCGGTGCAGCGTCCGCATTACTGCAGCTGCAGCCCCAATCCGTCTGTCGATCTCCGGCTCCCTTCTCCTGTCACTCGTGAACAAGACCCCGAGATACTTGAACTCCTCCACTTGGGGCAGGAACTCATCCCCGACCCGGAGTGGGCACTCCACCCTTTTCCGGCTGAGAACCATTGCCTCAGATTTGGAGGTGCTGATCCTGATTCCCGCTGCTTCACACTCGGCTGCGAACCGTTCCAGTGCGAGCTGGAGGCCCTCACCCGATGAAACCAACAGAACCACATCATCTGCAAAAATCAGAGATGAGATTCTGAGGCCACCAAAGCGAAAGCCCTCCGCCACTTGGCTGCGCCTAGAAATTCTGTCCATAAAAATTATGAACAGAACCGGAGACAAAGGGCAGCCCTGGCGGAGCCCATCACCCACCGGGAACGAGTCCGACTTATTGCCGGCAATGCGAACCAAGCTCTTGCAACGGTTGTATAGGGATCGAATGGCCCGTAGCAATGGGCCAGACACCCCATACTCCCGCAACACCTCCCACAGGACACCCCGAGGGACACGGTCGAATGCCTTCTCCAAGTCCACAAAACACATGTTGCTGAGATTTATTGATAAAAACAGTACAAAAAAACCCCAACCATTTGTACACATATTTACAAATATTAATAAAAAGTGAGTGAATACATTTCAATATTTTCAGCAATCACTCACAATCCTGGCACTGCCATAGTATCTGTAGTCTGCATTTACCACAACGTTCCAGCCGAACAGACAATATCATGTCTGATTCCATGATATTGTGTCTAAATTTTATTCAATTGGGTCTTTTCTGCCCACTATCGTTATGCTACTGCTATATTATTCTTCAATTTCTGCTGGCCCCTTGGTCAGCTCACTCTTCAAAAACACATTTCTAATGTAAATGAGACTGTTCACCCGAATAAATAAAAGACATCTAAATGTTGACAAGTCATTTACAACAGCTTAAACATTACTGGCAAGTACTGGAAATTACTTTTTGGCAATAACACACAGAGCTTCAACTGAGAGACATGAAAGGCAGGATGAACTTTTTACAGAGGCAAAGGAAATAATTGTAAAAAAAAATGTAAAAATGTAAAAAAAAAAAGAAAGTATTTGTTCATTTTATACATGTTCAATCATATCTAAGATGTGAGTCAAGACATAACATGTTTTATATGACTGATTTGCAAAATGTAACTATTTAGATGGTAAAGATTTTGCCTTTTGTTAATTAATCTACTATAATGTGTGTTTGTGTGTATCAACAGATGTCTGTCTGTACAAGCTCAAAGCCTTTTGTGATTGCTGTTGTCGGCATGCTGATCATTATGTTTGCATTCTATTTCGGGAACTTGTGTAATGGGACAAGTGCGCTAGCCTACAACAAACAAAGGTAAAGTATTCCTTTATCCTGGTGTGTGTGTGTGTGTGTGTGTGTGTGTGTGTGTGTGTGTGTGTGTGTGTGTGTGTGGACATAAAAATATGATATGTATGGTACACATTTTTCTTTTCATGGCAAATAGACTGAAGCAACTGAGTGAGAAGGATAAACTGATGTAGCTAAAACAGTGCTGTGCTGAAAATGACCAGTGCACAAGATTTGTAAAACCCTGATAGTCTGCACGTCAATTATGTATTGATTATTTGATAGTGGGGGCAGCACGGTGGCACAGTGATTAGTGCTGTTTCAATCACAGCAAGAGGGTCCTGAGTTCAATTCCACCATCAGGCCGGGGTCTTTCTGTGTGGAGTTTGCTTGTTCTCCCCGTGTTTGCGTTGGTTCTCCCCGGGTGAATGCCTATGGTTTCCTCCCACAGTCCAAAGACATGCAGTTTGTGGGGATAGGTTAACTGAACAATCTAAATTGTCCATAGTTGTGAATGCGGGAGTGAATGTAAGTGCAAACAGTTGTCTGTGCCTCTGTGTTAGCCCTGTGACAGACCAGCGACCTGTCCAGGGTGTACCCCGCCTCTTGCCCTATGACAGCTGGGATAGGTTCCAGTGCCCCCTGCCACCCTGAAAAGGATAAGCGGAAGCAAATGGATAGATGTATTTTTTGATACTGTCTTTGTCACGATCATTGTAGAGAGAACTGCATATATGTTTAGAAATGTTCTGGGAGATTCGTGAATGATCTCTAATTCATTTTATTCAACATTTGTACACTTACTGTTTCCGGTCAATAATGACCAATCACTAGAAATGAATGGTGGAGACAACAATTAGTGTAAATAACTGAGTTCAGATGGCCGTAAACACACACACACACACACACACACACACACACACACACACACACACACACACACACACACACACACACACACACACACACAATGGATTCCCTAGCAACTACTCTGGAAATGTTTGCCCAATAGAGCCTCACTTCCAAGAGAACGACTCCTCTGTTGGCAGTATCATTGTATCATTGAACATTTCTCGTAGATTTGGTGTACAATGCTTTTTTGAGGCCTTGCTCACAGGTCACTGGGTGTCAGCACCATGACAAGGTGATATATAACCTAAGTGAGGCTCTTTACTACTTATTTGATCACTACACTGGTGAGGAGGAGAGAGGCCAGGAAACTGATGGTGGAGATGCATTAGAGGAGAAATTGTCTGCATCTGAAGGTGGCACGGAATATAATCCATGCAATCTAGACCAAGAAATGACTGATGAGAAGGAATCCAATGATGAAAAGGATGGCCATGCTGAGGCTGCCATAAGGATCACATTACATAATGTAACAGTTGCTATTGTAATGCAGTGTATCACCACATGGCGGCTCACGACTGGTGACTGGTGTCACCCCCTTTTTGTTCTTCTTCGCACCCCTCCTGTAATGGATGCTCCCGTGTGTACGCGGACTAGTGTGCTCTTTAGTAATGTGTGGTAGAGGTAGCACTTTTATTTTTGATATTGTAAATAAATGAGTACTTTTTGGAAAGTCAGAAGCTATTGCTCATTCGCTATCCACCTGCACACCTCCATGGCTGGCTTCATCTCCACCGCACGTTACAATAAGGATATACTTTCTTTTATACTTGACTGTAGTAGTTCATTTAAATGTTGATGTTGAATTGTGACTCTTCAGGACTTCCATATTACAGGCACTCTTCAGGTTCTCTAAGTTATAAGTCATCTTTGCCCACACAACACCGTTTACCTGGTCCATGCACTTGTCCTGATGGCTCTACAATCCTCAAAGACCACATCCCACAAGACCAGTATGAGGATTTAATGCAGCGACGAGCTAAAGAGTTCCAGCAATACAAAGCCAGGTAGAAGATGGATGTATGGGTGGGAGCTTTCCGGGAACTGTTAGACTCACAGTTCAGTAATAAAATAATTTAAAGTGTGTGTGTATGTGTGTTACTGAGTACTCAAAATTCTTTTGTGTAATTTTTCCCAATTCCATCTCCTCAACAGGACTAATTCAATCCTATCCAAGCTACTTTTTGCTTTGCCTAATTCTCCTCTGCAGTATCCTATCCAGGGCGTTATAGTACGACCCTTGACTGCAACTGCAATACCAGGTAATTCAAGCTCAATATATGCTTCAGTCACCAGTGTTTTAGTTTTTATGTTCCTATAAAAATATAAATGCAAATAGAATAGGAAGGCAACAAGGCCATGGTTCACAGTTGTTTATGAAGATACTGTTAACATGAAAGTGATCATAGTACTTTTTATAAAAGTATGCTGTCAGTAGTCAGATCGAATTGGTCCCAATCATGTCATTGGGACACAAAAACAGCACAAAAAGCTTAATATTTTCAAAAATACAAAGTAACGACACCAAAAGATATAGCAGGTAAGAACAGAAATGGCAGAATTTTTAAAATTTGAATGGTGAAAATAGCCTGAGAACTGTGGGAGTAGTCAAAGGACAAAGAACGGAGCAACTAGAATAATAAGAAGATTAAAAATATAGGGAAACAGGAACACAATAGGTTGAATGCCTATGGCATTCACCCACTGAGAAAAACCTGAGTGAAAGATAGCTGAGGTGTCCTCAAGAACTCACCTGGCAACACTTGTGTAATTTCAAAATATGATGTGAATATGTGTATTTCAGTAGAAGGACTAAGTGACACTGAAGGTAATTTTTGAATTTCAGGTTTAGGTCTGCATGCGGAAGAAGGAAACAGCTATAAGGTTGGTCTGATATCACAGATTAGAAACAGGCAGATCTCACCCAGATCTGCCTGACTGAATGGTAGAGGTTGGCTGATTTATGAAAGATGGCTGCTGAATGTTTCTAAATTTCAAAGATATGTGTGTTTAATTTGTATACTGTATACTAACTATCAAAAAAAGTATTATTGCATTCATGTGTGGCAAACGAGGCTTGATATACAATCTACATAGTCAGTACTGGCTTTCATAACACATTGTTATTCAGTTTCAGTCAGTTTATTTTAGTAGACCCTATATTTCACCAGCTAACACTGTATTGGCTAGTGATATATGTAAATCTGTGCAAGTTATTCATGTACAGTAATTTAAAACTGACATGAAAATTTGCATTATTAACCAACCAACCAAGTATAATAAAGTTTAAGTTATTGTGTGTTACATACCTAGTAGAGTCAACAGATTCCCTGAATGTGAATTCAATAAGGAGAGATAATTAGATTTGATTTATTGATGAAAAGAATATAGGTCGGTGTTTTGCGGTTAGACTACGATGGCCTTTCTCAGCAGAAAGGAACCCCAGCTGTGAAAGGGATTAGAGCAGGAACCCCAAAATAACAAACATCTTACAGTTCTCCTGGCTGGGGAAAAGAATATGCACGTTAGGAGTAATGCATGTCGCTGGCAGGGCATAGCAAGCATAAGTACAGAGAAGGGTGAGAAACTAGGAAAGCTCTGGTAGGAACCCGACCAGGGTTAAAGGAGAGCCTTTTAGCCAGAGGAACAGACCGCCCATCAGAATGGGTGCTGGCACTGGCGCCGGCCCTCCAATGGCCACGACAGACCAGTACAGTGTCTACCTCACTGCAGCCACAGCACCAATCACTCTGTCGATCTCCTGCTCCCTTCTCCCCTAATTCGTGAACAAGACCTCAAGATATTTCAATTTCTCCACTTGGGGCAGGAACTCTTCCCTGACCCAGAGTGGGCACTCCACCCTTTTTTCAGCTGACCGAACCACGTAACCATGGCATAGTTGTCAACTATGTATTCATAGTTGTCCTGCTGGTTTGTCAAAACCAGAAGCAATCACCAGATTTGTGATACGAGATGTATGACATGAGCAACAGAGTGGTTATAGCTGTTAGTTCTTGAGACAAGACAAGAATAAATAATAAAGAAGCATACTTGCATCTCCCACTAGTTTGCACTTTAACAAGACAGATGACACACCTTTGGGCTGTGTAATGTATCTGATATGCACTGAATCTTAAATAAAACTATATGAATGATGAAAAATATGTATTTGCGTCAGGTTCTCTACAAGGCGGGACTAATGTCTAATGCCTTCTCACTTTAAAGCTTTCTTCTGGTTTAAACAGACAGCTTAAGGGGTGGTGCAGTTTTGTGGAGATGGTAGTAATGTTGGTATTGCTAAAATTACTCACAGCACTTTTTAGTTTATTCATGTGTTTCTATTATAGGTTCTCTTAACTGTGTCTAATGGTGTCCTAACAACAGAAACTCCAACTGCAGAGGCCACTGTTCAAGGTGAGTTTCCAAGTCAAAGGTAAATTTATATATACACTGGTACCAAATTAATATTGGTTTTTTTTTAAACCATATTATTAGCTTGCTTTTTTCTCTTTGTTTCAATGTTTTTTGTTCCTATGTCCCTGATAGAAGGGTCAACATTGTACAGAAAATGCTAATATTTATATAATTATTTTGGATGAAACATTGAAGAGTGGAAGAAGTAAAAACTGGGTGTAAAGTAAACTATATGACGAACGTGACATTGATACACTCATCCATACCAATAGAGCATCTACAGCAATTACATTGGGATATCATTCAAACTGGAGAAGTTTATTTGAATGGTAACAAAAAGAGGGAAGGTGGGGGATTGCACTTGTTGATCTGTGGGACCAACCCCCGAATACAGGAAGTTTGATCATATGAGTATTACCTCAGTGCAGAGCTTGGATGGATGTTGGATATCTCTTGTTCAGTGTCCTTGAAATATGACTGGGTTTAGTTTAGTGGCCTGGACTGTAAGACTCAAGCTTCTGAGTTCAATTTCTCTAGCCACACCTGATAGCCAGGGCTTTGCCCATGGGGGCTAGCTGGCCTCAGCCCAAAGAAGCTACAGTGGGATGCAAAAGTTTGGGCAACCTTGTTAATAGTCATTATTTTCCTGTATAAATCACTGGTTGCTACAATAAAAGTCATGTCAGTTAAATGACATTCAGTTAAATATATCATATAGGAGACACGCACAATGATAAGTGAAATGAAGTTTATTGGATTTACAGAAAGTATATATCTATATCTATATATCTATATCTATATATCAATATCTATATATCAATATCTATCTCTCTATATCTATATCTATATCTCTATCTATATCTCTATCTCTATATCTATCTCTCTATATCTATATCTATCTATCTGTCACGGCTGGGGGAGTGAGCCGTGTGGAGTGGAGGAAAAGGAGGACCCAAAATGCAGCAAACTGATGATACGAGTGACATTTATTTACAAAGTGGTGGTGGCAAAAACAGGCAACGAAGCATGAGACAAACTAAAGGAAACCTGAACTGGGAGAAACTAAAGAGCAAACCTGAAATCTTAACGAAACGGACAGTGGAGCAGAGAGACGCAGACTAAGGAACAGGATACCAAGAAACACAGACGAGCCGACAACAAACACAGACCGACACCCACTATATATACACACACACAAGGTAATCGGGTAATCGCACACAGGAGGGAAGAACAGCTGATCTGAATACACATGATGACTGGAGGACACAAGCTGAACACAATGACAACAGACACAGACCTTCAGAATAGAACAGGAAATCTAGGACCCGAACCGGACACCAGGGGGAGGACACAGAATAACTAGAACAGAGGAAAATAATCACAAAACACAAAACGCTATGTGTATATATATATATATATATATATATATATATATATATATATATATATATATATATATATATATATATATATATATATATAGCAGCTGGATAGCGTAGTGGTTAAACTACACGCCTTTGGAACAGAGACAGATAAATATGAAGGCATGCCGGCTCGGACGTCGCCCGGATCAACAAGGTCCGCGTCAGGTGTTGAGGAACCAGGGCACCCTGACGAAAAGTGGGCTACTGGAACAAGAAGGCATCGGTGGGCAAGGGACGAAAACAGGGCGTTGTTGGAATGCTACTACGCAAGTAACCCCGGCGGAAGGGGCTACATGAATAGGATGAGGGACCTATGGATTCTTCGATACCCAACATCCACAATGACGGCGAAACAACTAGTAGCTCAGTGTTCCAACATTCGAAAGAAGGGACTGCTCTCACAGCTAGAGATTGACGAGGTACAACACAAATGCTACGGCAAGGAGGAGTCAGGACGCCAGGTCAGGGGGGCGATATCATCACCCCCACCCGAGATTGGGTACATAGCCCCAAGTGCGATAGGAGAAGGATCGTTGAGTGCGAGAGGAACTGACCTGAAAAATAGGATCATGGCCAAGCTTGAAACCTGGATCCCCCGTAGCCGGTTACCAAGATTACGTGAAGTACCCCCAGAAGGTCTGCTAGATGATGTTAATGCAGCACTACGGGCAATACCTACAACCACGATTACCGACGAAGAACAAGATCCGGGCCATCAACACGTACGCCCTGCCCGTGATCAGGTACCCTGCTGGGGTAATAAGCTGGCCAAAGGAGGAGATAGAAGCCACTGACATAAAGACAAGAAAGCTCCTGACCATGCATGGAGGGTTTCACCCCAAGTCCAGCACCCTGAGGCTGTACGCTAAGCGGAAGGAAGGGGGCCGGGGACTGGTGAGTGTCAGCACCACAGTCCAGGATGAGACAAGGAACATCCAAGAATACATTGGGAAGATGGCCCCAACTGACCGAGTGCTCAGTGAATACCTCAGGCAGCAGAAACCCAAGAATGAGGAGGGAGACGAGGAACCATCATGGAAGGACAGGCCCCTGCACGGTATGTACCACCGGCAGATAGAGGAGGTGGCTGATATCCAGAAATCCTACCAGTGGCTGGACAAAGCTGGACTGAAAGACAGCACAGAGGCACTAATCATGGCAGCACAAGAACAAGCTCTGAGCACAAGATCCATAGAGGCTGGGGTCTATCACACCAGGCAAGACCCCAGGTGCAGGCTGTGTAAAGATACCCCAGAGACTATCCAGCACATAACAGCAGGGTGCAAGATGCTAGCAGGCAAGGCATACATGGAACGCCATAACCAAGTGGCCGGCATAGTGTACAGGAACATCTGTGCCGAGTATAACCTAGAAGTCCCGAGGTCAAAATGGGAGATGCCCCCAAGGGTGGTGGAGAATGACCGAGCTAAGATCCTGTGGGACTTCCAGATACAGACGGACAAAATGGTGGTGGGTAACCAACCGGACATAGTGGTGGTAGACAAACAGAAGAAGACGGCCGTAGTGATCGATGTAGCGGTTCCCAATGACAGCAATATCAGGAAGAAGGAACACGAGAAGCTGGAGAAATACCAAGGGCTCAGAGAAGAGCTCGAGAGGATGTGGAGGGTGAAGGTAACGGTGGTCCCCGTGGTAATCGGAGCACTAGGTGCGGTGACTCCCAAGCTAGGCGAGTGGCTCCAGCAGATCCCGGGAACAACATCGGAGATCTCTGTCCAGAAGAGCGCAGTCCTGGGAACAGCTAAGATACTGCGCAGGACCCTCAAGCTCCCAGGCCTCTGGTAGAGGACCCGAGCTTGAAGGATAAACCGCCCGCAGGGGCGTGCTGGGTGTTATATATATATATGTATATGTATGTATATATGTATATATATATATATATATATATATATGTGTGTGTATGTATATATATATATATATATATATATATATCCTATATGATATATTTAACTGACATTTTTTATTGTAACAACCAACGATTTATACAGGAAAATGATGATGACTATTAACAAGGTTGCCCAAACTTTTGTATCCTATTGTACATGGGTCCATCCACTTATAATAATGGATTGCATTTATATAGCACTCACTCTCTCACTTTCGCACACTGGTACAGACAAACCACAGTTGTAACCTGGGGGCAGACTAACAGAAGCCATCTGGCCAGCGTTGGTAAACGGCAGGTTAAAGTGTCTTGCCCAAGTACACAACGACCAGGGCAGAGAGAGCTGGGGGATTGAACCGGCAACTTTTCAGTTACAGATGAGCTTCCCAACCACCTGAACCATGGTGGCCCACTACCTATGGGGGCAGTATACTTGAATCCTCCACCCTCCACCAGGTTTTCTTTCCAGACTTTGAGATCCAGTGGATCAGAAGTTGCTTCTCTCTGCCTTTCAGTTGGGGAAAAGGTCCTGACTATCATTTGTCTGTGTCAGGGCTGGACTGGGACAAAAGAATTGCCCCGGGCATTTTGACTATAGATCGGCCCACCAGGTATTATAGGAAAAGCTATAAAAAATTTGAATGAAAACAAACGCTGTTGTGACAGTGATGTAAACTCATACATGCCAACCCTTCTGATTTTTCCGAGAGAGAATCCCGAATTTCAGTGCCCCCTCCTAAAAATCTCCCGGGGCGACCATCAACGTTCCCTCTAAGCTGCGCGTGTGCGCAATTGCGCACTGCTGGCATGGTCTCTGCGCACAAAAAATCTGCGTTGCGCACAAAAAAATCTATCATGAAATTAAATTAAAATTAAAACTTTAACAATTCTGTTTTGCAGTGTTAGTCAGTGAGTGACTGGCTGTTCCCGTATGGGATTAAAACGATGCCACCTTATCCCATACTCCAGTCAATCACGTGATTTACATTCGTATATACGGAGCTAATCAACATCGTTGACAGGCTATGACAGCGTCCTTATGTGCCGACACCGGTGTTTTTGCTGGAAAAGCGGTGTGGCTGATGTGGAGTGAAGCCGTGTTAATGACAACGTGTACAACCATTGGAGATGTGAGCAGGACAGACGGAACAACTGAAGGAAAAAGTGTGGACTTTATACCAGTTTTTAAATTGTGTTGATAGGCCACGTAAAACCAGAGTTATGATAAAAATATATGCAATGTTTGGTTTTCTTCCTGAATACTATCGTTGTTTACATAGCTGGACTGGCCATTGGGCCATTTGCCCGATGGGCCGATGGTGATTTTTCGTCTTTATGGGCCGATGATTTTTTTTTATAACGGTATAAACAATGAGAGGTGGTGACACACCTTTGGGCTGAGAGTTATTTTTACACATCGGCCAGCTGGATGCTGGCCGATGTGTAAAAATAACTCACTTGTTTGGTGGTGGCTATGGCGGAGCTTACACAGAGGCCAGCAGGTGAATGAGGGAAAAGGGAAGCAGGAGGAGGAGAGACCCGAGGCAGCCGCCGGTTCGAGTCTCAGGTGAACTGAACTTCAGGTAAGAAGTTATGACCTGCAGTCTATCTGGGTCAGATATAAACTGAGTCTAGGTGGAGTTTATTTTCATTGTGCTGACTTTTTACTG